TAAGCCTCTTTGGATTGTTGATTTCAGGTTCGTTGGATAGATTCCCAGTAGTGGGATGGCTGGATCATAGGGGATCTCTATTTTTAATTCTCTGAGGAATCTCCATACCGTTTTCCATAGAGGCTGCATAATAGGTTAGTTTTTTAAAAAACAGTTTTATTGAGATGTATATCACATACTATAAAATTCACCCATTGAAAAATGTGCAGTTGAGGTTTTTAGTATATTCACAGAGTTGTGCAATCATCATCACAATCTAATTTTAGAACATTTTCACTACCCCCGAAAGAAACTCCATACCCGTTCATAGTCACTTACCATGCTTCTAGATTTTATGCTTTTAGCTCTTACATTTAGATCTGTGTTTCATTTCGAGTTAATTTTTGTGAATAGTGTGAGGTAGGCTTCCTGCTTCATTCTTTTGCATGTGGTCCTCCAATTGTTCAGCACCATTTGTTGAAAAGACTGTTCTTTCCTCATTGAAGTGTTTTGGTGCTCTTGTTGAAAATCAGTCGACCATAAAAGTACGTGTTTATTTCTGGACTCTAATTCTGTTTCATTGATCTATCCTTATTCATTGTCTATCCTTAAGCCAGTACCACACTGTCTTGATTACTGTAGCTTTGTAGAAAGTTTTGATATTGGAAAGCGTGAGTCCTCCAATTTTGTTCTTTTTCAATATTGTTTTGGCTATTTGGGGTCCCTTGCATTTCCATACAAATTTTAGGATCACCTTGTCAATTTCTGCAAAAAAGCTAGCTGGGATTTTGATAGGGATTGCATTGAATCTGTGTATTAATTTGGGGAGTATTGCCAGCTTAAGAATCTTAAGTCTTCAGAACCATAAATATGGAATGCCTTTCAATTTGTTTAGGTCTTTTTAAATTTCTTTCAAAGATGGTTTGTAGTTTCAGTGTACAAGTCTTGCACTTCTTCTGCTAAATTTAATAAGTGTTTTTTGATACTATTGTAAATGCAATTCTTTTCTTAATTTCATTTTTGGATTATTCATTGCTAGTTTATAAAAATACATGTGGTTTTTGTATATTGATCTTATATCCACAACCTCCCTGAACTAATTTATTAGTTCTAATACGTTTTTATTAGATTCCTTAGGAATTCCTACGTACAAGATCATGTCATCTGCAAATAGACTTTTACCTCTTCCTTTCCAGTCTGGATGCCTTTTATTTCCTTTTCGTGCCTAATTGTTCTGGCTAGAATCTCCAGTATGCTGTTGAATAGAAGTAGCAAGAACAGATATCCTTGTCTTGTTCCTGATCCTAAGGAAGAGCATTGAGTGTTTCATAAATACATGTGATGTCAACTTGTTTTTTCATAGGTGGCCTTTATCAAGTTGAGGAAGTTCCATTCTAGTCCTATTTTGCTGAGTGTTTTTCTTAGGAAAGAGTGTTGGATTTTGTCAAATGCTTTTCTGTATCAATTGAGATGATCATGTGCCTTTTGTCCTTTATTAATATGTTGTGTTACATTGATTTTTTTATTGAGATAACATTGGTTTGTAACACTATATAAATTTCAGGTGTACATCATTATATTTTGACTTCTGTGTAGACTACATCATGTTCACCACCAAAAGTATAGTTTCCATCTATCACCATATGGATGTCCCCCTTTACCTCTTTTGCCCTCCTCCCACTCCTCTTCCCCTCTGGTAACCACCAATCTATTCTCTGTCTCTATGTGTTTGTTATTTTTTTTAATCTTCCATATATGAGTGAAATCATACTATATTTGTTTTTCTCCATCTGACTTATTTTGCTTAGCATAATAACAAGGTCCATTCATGTTATTGCAGATGGCAAGATCTCATCTTTTTTATGGCTGCGTAGTATTCCATCGTGTGTGTGTGTGTGTGTGTGTGTGTGTGTGTGTGTGTGTGTGTATGTGTGTGTGTATGTATGTATGGGTATATATGTATACCCGTTCATCTGTTGAAGGGCACTTAGGCTGTTTGCAAGTCTTGACTACTGTAAATAATACTGCAGTGAACATAGAGGTGTGTATATCTTCTTCAATTAGTGTTTTCATGTTCTTTGGATAAATACCCAAAAGTGGAATAGCTGGATCATATAGTAGTTCTATTTTTAATTTTTGGAGGAAACTTCGTACTCTTTTCCATAGTGGCTGCACGAACTTACATTCCCATCAGCAGTATACGAGGGTTCCCTTTTCTACACATCTGCTCCAACACTTGTTACTTCTTGTCCTTTTAATAATAGCCATTCTGACGAGCATGAAGTGATCTCTCATTGTAGTTTTGATTTGCATTTCCCTAATGATTAGTGATGTTGAACATCTTTTCATGTGCCTGTGGCCATCTATATATCTTCTTTGGAAAAATGTCTGTTCAGATCCTCTGCCCATTTTTTAATGGTTTCATTTTTTTGTTGTTGTTGGTGAGTTGTATGAGTTCCTTATATATTTTGGATATTAACTCCTTATTGGATATATGATTTGCAAATATCTTCTGCCAATCAATAGGTTGTCTTTTCATCTTGTTGATGGTTTCCTTTGCAATGCAGAAGGTTTTTAGTCTAATGTAGTCCTATTTGTTTATTTTTGCTTTTGTTTTCCTTGCCTGAATAGACAATGTATTTGAAAAGATACTGCTAAGACAGATGTTAAATAGCGTACTATCTGTGTTTTCTTCTAGAAGTTTTAGGGTTTCAGGTCTTACATTCAAGTCTTTAATTCATTTTGAGTTAATTTTTGTGTACAGTGTAAGATAATGGTCTACTTTCATTCTTTTGTGTGTGGTTGTCCAGTTTTCCTAGCACCATTTATTGAAGAGACTTCCCTTTCTCCATTGTATGAACAGGCTTCTTTGTTGAAAACTAGCTGTCCATAGATGTATAGGTTTATTTCTGGGCTCTCAATTCTATTCCATTGATCTGTGTGTCTGTTTTTCTGCCAGTACCATGCTGTTTTGATTACTACAGCTTTGTAGCATACTTTGAAATCTGGGAGTCCAGCTTTGTTCTTTTTCTTCAGAATTGCTTTGGCTATTCAGGGCCTTTTGTTGTTTCATATAAATTTTAGATTCTTTGTTCTATTTGCATGGAAAATGTCATTGGGATTTTGATAGAGAGTGCATTGAAACTGTAGATTGCTTCAGGTAACATAGTGATTTTAACTATGTTAATTTTTTTTTTTTTTGTGAGGAGGACCAGCCCTGAGCTAACGTGCGATGCCAATCCTTCTCTTTTTTGCCGAGGAAGACTGGCCCTGGGCTAACATCTGTGCCCATCTTCCTCTACTTTATATGGGACACTGCCACAGCATGGCTTGACAACCAGTGCGTTGGCGCGTGCCCGGGATCCGAACTGGTGAACCCCAGGATGCCGCAGCAGAGTGCGTGCGCTTAACCGCTTGCGCCGCCAGGCCAGCCCCTGTTAATTTTTTTAATCCATGAGCAGGGAATACCTTTCCATTTCCTCTGTCTTCTTTCATTTTTTTCAACAATGTCTTATAGTTTTCAGTGTATGCATCTTTCACCTCCTTGGTTAAATTTATTCCTAGGTATTTTATTCTTTTTGTTGCGATCGTAAATGGGGTTGTATTCTTGATTTTTCTTTCTGCTAGTTCATTATTAGTGTATATAATTGCAACTGATTTTTGTATGTTGATTTTGTACCCTGCAACTTTACTGTATTTGTTTACTATTTCTAATAGTTTTTTGGTGGATTCTTTAGGGTTTTCTATATATAAAATCATGTCATCTGCCTATAGTGACAGTTTTACTTCTTCCTTTCCAATTTGGATACCTGTTGTTTCTTTTTCTTGCCTAATTGCTCTGGCTAGGACTTCCAATACTATGTTGAATAAGAGTGGTGAGAGCGGGCATCCTTGTCTTGTTCCTGTTTTTAGGGGGAATGCTTTCCATTTTTCACTACTGAGTATGACGTTAGCTGTGGGTGTGTCATATATGGCCATTATTA